CTCTTTCCCAATCCGGATTCGAATCTTCGCTTGGAAGAAGATTCACATGGGTTTCTCCGATCTTTGATAGATGTAGTCGAATTAAATATCAGTAAAATTTCAGATTATAAAAAAAAACCACACTATGAAGTAACTAACGAATATCATGTATATAAGTCACATCATCAACATCACCTTCACCATTATACCAAATTTATATGAGTTCGACCGATTTCTTCGTTTTTATTTATTTCGGTTTTGTATTAGATCTTTCAAAATTTATAATAATTCCAAATTATTTTTAATGACACAATTTCAAATAAATGTAGGATTACCTTTTCTTTTCTTTTCACTTCCATTTTTATACTCTTCACTTTTCTAACTATCGCGTATATCGGTTTACGTTATAAATATACAAATCATATTAAAGGTTCGTAACTTTTCTTCTATATCTATTATTTGTATTTTTTTTATCTAATAATCTTATTTCTAATTCTATATAAAAAAATTGGCATGAGCAAGTCCTGGGAGGATAGTTTCCTCCGCGAAAATTTGGTTACATCGATAATTAAAAAAATTAAAGATGAATAAAATGACAACGAGACATATACAATTCAAGGTGGAATATATATATATAAAAGATTTGACGGATTGGCCATTTTTTTTTTGAAATCTCGTGGAAATGAATTTTCTAATTAATAAAGAATAGTGGGATATACACCAAGGTGGTGGTGTAAGTTCTAAGCAAGTGCACATGCGAACTGGGATCGGATCAGATATCACTGACTGTGTATCCAACTGCATCATTGTTGCTATCATATGTTTGATAATTATCACTTAATATTTTATAAACCATTATCGTTGGACAGTAACGGTTCTTTTTATTATTCGGAAAATTCACCTAACATTCGAACATTCGATCTGATTACATCCACCGGAAATCCGAAGAAAATGCTGAATTACCGCCTTACGAAACCTCATACTCATACCAACGCTTGAAATCGAATCTGAGACCGAGGCTATGATTTGCATTCTCTCTTATCATTAGGCAACCAAAACTTGGGTGGCAGTCATGAATTAGGTTAACATGGCTATCATGTGTGGCCTTTGCCACAAGGCTTGCCCGATAGACTGTCTAGCTGGTTTCTCACCGCTTTACCCCAAGCGTCATGTTGTAATTATGCTATTTAAAAACATTAATGAATATTTATATCATGAAACAAATTGATAGAATCTGCAAACTTGAGCTCACGTGCCCGACTAGATATCCGAATTAAGACACAACAATATATAAAAAGCCTTATTTAGAAAAATCGTGTGTATGTGAAATGTTCGGTTGGTGATTGATAATACAAACGAGTGAAACCGTAGAGAAAGGGACAAAGGAACGGTCCAAAAATTGAAATACGACCAACAGTCAAGACATGATGGAAACCAGCCCCATCAAAGATCGTTTTAATTCCATTTAATTGTCATCTGTCTTTTCATTTTCACACAAATTTAATAATATTTGTTTCGATATTTAATTAATATAATCACGAAAACCATTCCGAGGGTCCAAAACCAAAAACTGTTATCACCATGCATAGCCGTCTAAATACAGGAAGGTTTTTACATGATTTTCGGTGGGATGCAAAGGCAAATGGCCTTGAAAAGAGACATTAGAAGATTTTCATACATATGATATGATATTCATACATATATAATATGGCAAGTTCGGTCCGTTTTTTCTGGGATCAAATATTTTGAATCCACCTCGAAAAAAATATGGACTATCCAACCAACTCGAGTTGGACTCGTTTTACATCCCTAATAATCACGATGATTCGAAACTCCCCTGGTTCAGCTTGCAATCGGACCGTTTCTATTATTGGGCCACGATCCGTTCCGTTCACAAGATTGGACAACTATCAATTATAAAAACATGCAGGAATAAGTCATATTCCATTGGAACCTTCCGTAACTTTCTAGGGGCCCAGCCTACTTTCAGCCCATGGATCATCACACATGATTGCTTAGTCATATGAAATGGCCGTATAGTTCCCACCAAATCAGGCATCAGGCCTCACTTATATGCCACATATATATGATTGGTCTAAAATTGGGATGGGGGCCACAACTATTTTTGATGTTCAGAACCCTTCCATTATTTTCAGCCCTTAGATGATTATTAATTCATACAAAAATTTCCAATCTCTGTCTATCTCTCATCTCTTTATCCTTTTTATATATATATATATATAGACACACATCTGCAGGTGAGAGATAGAACAAAGTCTATCCAAAGCTACAAACCTAGCTTACATGGGTAAATAAAAAGAAGAAAATAACCAAAAATGAATTCATCTTCCCATATATAAGAAGAGAAGCTAGCTCTCTATCTGATCTATGAGCATCTCCTGGGACCTGCACTCTCTGCTGCAGAAAGCCTTCTCTCCCCTGAAAATAACCAAACAAACAAAACGATGAAGCAGATCACGAAAACATGAACATACCCAAAAGCTCTGAAAGGAGATGACACTGACCTATATATGTAAATGTCGTGTTTTTGGTCGAGATCCTTCTTGCAGGTGTAGCACAAGTCCAAGAAACTGTTCACTTTCACGACAGAGAGATTCGACTCCACATAAACACGGTTGTCGAAGATATGTCTGGTGGTCGGATTTGGGCCGTGTGATATCACACACGTGTAGTCCTCGGACATCTCCATCTCCCTCACCCACCCAGCCGACGACACCCTCGTTTGGACGCCAGCATTCCCTTGTCCCTCTCCCGGACATCTCTTAGTTCCGAAATCGGCTGATGGGATCCGGACTCTGAGCTTGGATCCGAACAGGACCATCTTGTTGGGGGGTTTTGTGGCGTCACCCACATTTCCTCTGTTTTTCAAGAGATCAGCGAGGCCAAGTGCCTCTGGAGGCTGAAATCTTTGGGGTTTTGGGATTGTGGGTTCGAAATACGAACTGGGTTTGTCGTTTTTGGTGGAAAAGATTGATGGGTTAGCGTCGAGGATGGAAGTCGGGCTGAAGAGGGGGAAGTCGGAGTCGAAGGGCGTGTTCATTGAGGAGAAAAGCTTGAATTTTGGAGAGGTGAGGAGAGACGAAAGAGTGGGTTTCGTGAAGTGGCCAGCCTGAGACGGTGGTTGATCCGCCATTAGAGACGCCTGTTTGTTTGCTACCGCTCTCCTTGACCTGTTCCTCAGCATAACTTTAGATGAGACGTGACGGTGGATGTAGCTCACCTCCTCAAGAGGACCAAGACCATAACCAGCAAAGTAAGATCTCGAAGGTCCAGAAATGGAAATAGATCAGAACTCAGCTGCTTCCATGGAGGAAGAGGGAATCAAAAAGGGGCATGGTGGGGGAGGAATCTGCAAAAGCCTAGAAAAAACCCAAACGAGCGCAAACAAAACAAGAATCGGCATTAATCGTATATACGGCGGGTACAAAATATCTGGGATGGATTTGGCTGCGGCTTTCTTCTTATCGATTATAGCCGAGATCTTGATCAGCAAGCCGATTCTCTCTCTACGAGGGACTGCACACACAAAAAAAAACTTGAAATTGCAAATGGAGTGGAGAGAGATAGAGAGATGCGGGGAGTTGTGATGAACTTAGGCTGCCTATTGGTTTGGGCTTTTAAAAAGCACTGAGAACATTGGATCGTCCAACTGTTAAAGAGTAAAAAAAAAGTTTCTTCTTCACCCAGAGTTTAAATATTCATTTGGAGATAAATATTTATATGAATTTTTTCGATTCTTTTAAAAATATAGTCGTAACAATGCATATGAAAAAGGAGAGCAGTGTCTGGGTGTGTTTCACTAAACCGATGTTGGTTTATTGGCACATTTTAACACTTCATGTGCTTTTATGTCAAATTATCAACGGGTTTTTGTTTAATGCTAATCATAAACGTTTTGGTTTTCACCAGTAATAGAAAACCCATTAATTGTTTTTTTTTTTTATATTTGACCTGTACATTCCATCATCTTACATCAGTAAGGACCCTTAAATATTTCAAATATTCAAAACTCATCATTATTCACTATTTAAAATCATAATATATATAAATAAATATAATTTTAATAAATCTGAATTATCTAATAATATACAACCCATAATCTAATTGATGGTTAAAACATATGAAGAGGCAATCATAATAATTGCTTCTTTTTAAGCGTATATTTTATCCGATCAGCAAAGTTCGATTCTAAGTAAATAAATACAAAAACAGTATTAACTGGGTCCCACTTCACCGAATCAAATAATTAAAGGCCATGGAATCAAGGCATTCATTTAACGGGTCCCATGTGGCTATGTGTACTATTAAATATTAATTAGGAGAGACTGTTATTTGCAAGGTATTAGATTTTATGTCATATCATCGATAGTCAATAGGATGATGATATAATTAGGAAGATGCGAATACTTTTGTTCGTTGCACCTTTGTTTCTTAATAAAATAAAGAGAAAATTTGCATAATTGTTAAAAAAAATAAAAAATAAAAGACACTTCTTAATAAATAGAGGTTTTCTTGGGGCCCACTAATTTTTCTTTTCGGTCCCACGTTACTCATGATTGCTTTTCAAATTATTACATCGGCCTTTTCGGCCCACATGTGGGCTTATTTCCTCTTCCTAAAACAGTATTTAATATTTATTATTATTATTATTATTATTATTGTACATTGTACCATCGATAAAATTTAGATACTAAAATAAAACAAACCTATAATTTAAAGTTTTTAAATTAAATCATAACTGTGTTATTATGGAAATTATTTTGTAAAGAAAGTGGTTGGATACAAGAAAAAAGTCAAACTCGTTTTCATTTTAGTAATACCAGAACTCAGAGCGATCTTTTAAGTTGAAAATTTTCCAATGGAATAATAGTACGGGAAACAACAACTCTATCCTCTTTTCATCTCCCAAAATCTTATCCGCTTTTGAGATGACGTGTCAAACATTGATTCGTTAAGAACGTGATCATGTTTTGTGTTAGACAACATTCCCAAGCAAGCTTTCGTTCTGTCAAAAGTAGTAACTCTACAAACTTTCACAATCCATAGTGCCCGTCTCTTTCTCTTCATTGCCATAATTTCAATCATAAACACGCACACCGATTCGTGTATATATATATATATATATATTTCAATGTAGTTCATGCATGTATGTATGTATGTCGACATTTAACGTTATTATTATAATTAATAATTGTGTTTAAAACGCATCTAATCTTCTATGACGATCATGCAATGGCGAGACGATTATTTTAGTGGTCTATGGTTACTTTCATTCGTCACGTGATTTTGATTTCCTTATTACTACATATATATATATATATCATTTCGGAATTTAATCCAAATAACGTCTGATTCCGCCCACCTACCAACCAGATCACGAGAGAGGTTTAGTTTTTGTAACCAAAAGCAAACAATAACTACTGTTTATCTTTTTTTTTTTCTTTTTTGCGCGAAGAAAAGACTAGGAACGACACACCGAGTGCCACCAATATTACACATTTGAAAGATGTGTAGTCGACGAGAGTTACAATGTAGAAAATCCACGGGTGTCGCCTAATACAGTATGCCATTTAAGACAAAAAAAAAAACAAAGACTTTGTTCTTTGTTTTTTTTGTTTTTGTAATAAGATTATAATAATCAGATGCGGAGGTGGGTACAGCCAAGGATAGTGCCGCGGCAGCGAGTCACAGGAGCCACCCTCCGTCACGTAAGACGATCGCTGGTAACCCCCCACACGTCGACGTCAGAGAGTGGGTTGATGTCCCAATTGAAGCGGTCAGGGCCTATGACTCCTCCTATGATGTAAACCTCCTCCCTCATCCGTTGGAGTCCAGCGTCTCTGTATGAAGTCGTATGACCAGACTTCATCCGTTGTAAATGTCCCGTCTTGATTACCGGTTAGTGGATCGACGACATCGGTCCCTCCACCCAGCACAAGCAGCCTCCCACCAGTGGATACAACACCAAAATGGGAGAGATGGCAGCTTTTGGACGGGAGGACAGGGAGGGTGAGCCAGAGGTCGTTGAGGGGATCATACACCTGCCAGAGATTCTTGGGATCGAAAGCGCGCACACACACAGGAGATCCTCAGACGACCCGACTTCCTGTCGGGCTTTGAAGAGTTCGCCAAGAACGAGAAACGACTTCTAGTGTTGGATGGAGGGTTAAGGGCACATGTGCAAGGCACCTCACGGCGACAGCATCTGGAAGTCCTCAATCAACCCAAACATTGCTACAGCTGATGATTCATCTACTGATGGGATTACCATGAGCTGTAAGGCTCACACCAAAAGATACACAATCTGAAACACAATATTTTCATTGACAATCAGGCCATACGTTGGGATGTCAGTGTATGGCGAAAAATGCTGAAGTTCATCCTATATAAACTTTGGACATACGCCACCAATAGGAACAAAATGCAAGTTAAATGAATCAAAAGACAGCAGATAGAGACATCAGTAACAAAACGTATGCACATTCATGTGTAATTCATCAATGATAATTCAAATTTTGGATGGTCTCATAAGTTCAAAGTTCATGCAGGTCAGTCAATTTAACCATCCTTCTTCAATCAACCATCAAACCCGATATAAATAGAACCCCCTCTAGCTTATGTGCTAAGAAACACCAGAGAATGGAGACAAAGTTCTCCAAAACTAAAGAAGCACATGTGAAACCAGACAACAGAACACGAACCTTCCCCAGAACAGAGATTCTAGAAGGAAGCAAAACAATAAAGACAAAATTTCAAGTCGAAATGCATCGAATAAATGAAAAAGATACTAAAGTTTCATCCAAAAAGCAGATGCAATGCAGAATATTAACCTAGAGGAGGCGTATGGACGACATAAAGCATAGTGGTTTAGATCAGAAATCACACATGTCCGATCACAGACTGAGGCAGTTTAACGGAATTTTCACTAGAATCCCTAGAATTTTTCAGTTGTTATATTCATTTGCAAACAGGAATCCCCAAATCAAACAGCGGAAGTAATAAATAAACGAGGACAACCATGTTCAAAGCCACCGACCAGTAAGTCCAGCAAAATTTACAGAATTCGGATAAAAAACCCTAAATTCTGAGTGAGAAACCATCAGGATTGCCCGGTGATATCCACATGGACTAGGATTTCACCCCCTCGGACAAAAATCTCGACTGGAATTCAACACAAAGAACCACGCGCTGCGAAAATTCAGGAAGTTGACAAATACTCAAGGCGACATAGCAAGGATTACGGGCAAAAATCGAGAGAGAATCAAGATTGCGTAGAAATGGTCGGGAAGGGAAACAGAGTTTCGTAATTACCTGAACGCCTGAACCAAGTGAAGATTGAAGAATACGATTACTCCGTGACGCTTCTTAATCACAGCCAATCTATTCATAATCATATGATATATTTTCCCTCTTGGTTTCCCATGTAAAATTATAATATACTACTACCATATTACCTCAAATTAATACAGATACATAATTTAACGAGCTAATATTCGTATATTAAAACCTGATTTAAAAAAAAGAAGAATTGAATATAAACTGTAAAATACCAATAAGGCCCCCAATAATTGATTTGAGGCTTTTTAAAAGCCCACGGAGAGAAGCCGAGCCAGGCCCACCGCACTTAACTTTTCCGATTCCCCTCCGCAAGTGTTCCTGGCAAATCTTAAACCCTCACTCCGCCCCAACTCCGGCGTCGCTCGCTCTCAATCCAAGCCTCTCCTCTTTCTCGGTACGTACCCTTCTTCATTTTGTTTCCGTCGGCTTTGAATTTCCGTCGATTTTCTTCTTTCGAGTTTCCTTTTTTTTTTGCTGATTATTCTGGAATTTCGTCTTCGCATTGGGCTCCAATTCGATCTTCTTCTACTTTTGTGTTCTTAATTTGATTCAGGAAAGCGTTATATGTACCTCATCCTGTCGATGAGTTTTTTTTAAGGAGTTCCTGTTGAATATGGAATCTAGGATGAACATTTTGATCCCCTTACTGACAGTCGGAACTCTCTGTCCGTGAGCTGTGCAAAGACTAGTCTTTTGGGCGAGTGAAATGTGTTTAGGGTTTGTGGGTATATAAACAATTTTGTTCGAACTGATTGTTAGTTTTTTTGGGGATGTGACTTAGGCCACACTTTCCTCAGCGGCGCTGCTTATTTTGCGGGTCTGTTTTTGTTTCATGTGCTCAATACGCATTAATCGAAAATATAAGTTCGTTCGGTGTGCTTCTGTGGAGTTGGATTCATGTTCATGGCAATACTTGTTTTCTGTTGTTCTTCAGCAATGGGTTGGAAGGCGGCTGAGAAACTCATTAGACACTGGAAGATACTCAGAGGGGACAATGTGAGGATGCTATGTCATTCCAGTGCAGAATTGTTATTCTTTAAAACCTTTTTTTAAGAGATTAAAAACGTGATAGATTGTGATCTGATGATGTCTTTATTGTTTGTTCACCTAGGTGATGATCATTCGTGGAAAAGATAAGGGTGAGACTGGAACCATTAAGCGTGTCATCAAGTCCCAAAACCGTGTGATTGTTGAAGGGAAGAATCTGGTGAGAGGCTTTTATTTTTTCCTTATTGTTCTGAACAGTTCTGTTCTCCCTCTTTTACATGTAAGCATTAAAGAATGCATACATATGCAAGCTTTTGATGTTGTGTGTTATCGAGTGGTCAAAGTTTCTGATAGCTTCACCATAAGAAATCCCATAGCTCAGCAGAAACATGGGCATCTTTATTCTCGGCTTAGGGTTCTTTCTCCTTAACGTAATGTTTCATTTTTTTACATTGTTGTTTGACTTGACAGGTCAAGAAGCATATAAAGGGAGGGCCGGACCATGAAGGCGGGATTTTCTCTGTTGAGGCTCCTCTTCATGTCTCAAACGTCCAAGTTCTGGATCCAGTGACCAAGTATGTTGTTATAATGTTTGCCATATTAGCATTACCGCCACTGTTGATGTGGAATGCTAATCCGTGATATCTGTGACAGGAACCCTTGTAAAGTTGGGATGAAATATCTAGAAGATGGGACAAAAGTGAGAGTAGCGAGAGGGATAGGTGCATCTGGTGCAATAATCCCTCGCCCTGAGATTTTGAAGATAAGGGCAACGCCCAGACCCACAGTCGGTACGTGACTACACTCTCAAGCAATCCGTAAAATGGCATGGAACATGTGATTGCAATTATGGTGGTCCAATCCCATCTGTGTTTTGATTCGGTTGATACGGGGTATGTTTCAGCTGGTCCGAAGGATACACCAATGGAGCTCGTCTTGGAGCAGACGTACGATGCTAAAACAGGAAAGGGCATGCCTGATCTTTGAAGGACACGTGTCGCCTGCCTGTCTGCCTGGTTTCTGGACAATCAAGTGGAAGTGATTGATAATAACAACAACTAGCTCTGTCATTTTGTTGTAGTCCATTTCTTTTCTCGTACCGAAGAATCACTGAAAGACCACAGTTTTGTGTCTATGGCACTCACATTCCGCTATTGCATGCATGTCTCCTCTCCACCCATCTCGCTCGTCAACATTGGAGCTCATTTATTATGTTTTCTTTCCACAAAAACCCCAGCCCTTGTTAATTTGTGGTGGCAAAAGATGATTTGATATTTGTAAAGCAAAGAGACGAAGGAACCCCTTTTCTTTAATTCCAAAGCCTCTCTCGTTATCTCTGGGACCAGTTTTAGGAATTGAGTGGAACATTGGTTGCTCCCCAACACAAGCTTTTTCTGTGAAATCAATGCCCAAAGAAGAAAAAAAGGTGGCCTCTGCTACTTCCTAGTAAGTACCATTACTCCTTTCTTTTTATCAATCCTGCAAAAATCACACTTGTAATGAGACCATATGATAAGATCACAATAAGAAATCTGTATGTAATCTGTAACAAATTGTCGCAGCGACCTTGATTTTTTTTTTAATGAAAGTGATGTGTATTAATCTAGCAAAAATGTACATCCATTCCAAGGCTCTATACAAGGCTCTATACAAAATGAACCCATAATCAAATGGTCAAAATATGATAGAGTTTTGTAACATAAAATAAAGTGCAACACCTATGGTGGTCTCAAAAAACGAGTGAGATAGAACGAGTCAGCCAAGAAAGAAGAGGTGGCGGCTGGAGGTATGCATTTGACGGACAGGGGATATTACGCTTAACACGGTCAACTTTCCATTTCAGATGCTGAATTGTACAGTTGATACCTCGCAATACTTTGTTGTTCTTTTCTTTCCAAACTTCATATACTGTAATCTGAAGCAATAATTTTGCAATTTTGTTCCGCCCTCGTATTGCGTTGTTTGCGCCGATGTTGAACCACTCCACCATCTCTGTTGTGTTCCTTGGTGCATACGGCCAGCACACCTCAGCAAAGTGGTTCCAAATGCTAGATGCGTAACTGCACTCAAAGAACAGTTGGTGATGAGATTCAACATCCGAATTACACAACCTACAGCACGTATCCGAAGTAACTCCCCATCTTTGAAGTCGGTCCTTTGTCGGTAACCGCTATTGCATAATTTGTCAAAAGAGGATAGCATATCTAGGAATATCAGACGATAACCAACTAATATTATGCCAGGGAACAGTTTCTTTATGAAGCCTAATATGGTTCCATGTTTTAGAAGGAGAGAAGAAAGCTCTGTAATCATCATCTTTGAATCTCTACAAGACCACGTCAGGCGTACAACTAGCTTCATCAGAGGGCTGAATGGTGGATATATGGACCATCATATGTTGGGTTTTGTCATTTTTGGTTGCCGGCAATGACCAAGAACCCTCTCTTGCAGCTATACTCACAGTTGCCAAGTGCGATAGTCTTAGGTTACGCGGCCCGGTCGAACCAACAAATTCAATGAGTGGTCCAAGGCTAGTCCAAGGATCATACCAAAACAATGTTTTTTCACCGTTCCCAATCTAAAACTTTAGCATCTGCTTCACTAACAGCTTAGTGTCAACAATTTCCGAAAGTGCCATGAAAAATGCGGTGAAGGAGTCTGTTAATCAAGGAAATAACATATTCAACATCTAAAAGGTTCAAATTGACAAATGAAAGAATATAGTCAAATCTGGACAACACACAAGGAAAGAAGTGATAAAATGAAAGAAGACATTCACATCAATCAAAAAAAGGCAAGGCATATATTCAGAGGATATTGAGAGAATCACTTGGAGAAGTCTATATATACTGAAGTCCCCATTATAGAAGGGCTGTCGAGATTCTATTGAGAAGCAGAGTCTGTGACCTTGGTGAGAGTCACATGTACGGGAAACACTGGTGAGAAATATCTGAGAGAACGTGAGGTAGATCTGAAGGGGAGCCTTTAAGTAACAGGCGAACCGCTCACTGGGCCTAGACAAGGTCTAGGGTAACACGTGGTGTGCGCTGCACACAAAGTATTTGTGGCTGATAGAATTTCTTGTGATACTGAGGTTTTACTCAGGAGAGTGAAACTGGGTAGGTTGAGTGTTACTTGGAAAGGATTGAAGTATACATGACACGTATCAAAGAAATAGAATCAGTTTGAGAATTTTTGATTTGCAATATCGTGTGAGAGTGTTTTTTCAGTGTCTATACACCAAAAGCCTTTCCTCTTTTCTCGTGCATCCAAGCAATCCACAGAGAACCAGATTTCGAGAATAAAATCCAAATTAACAACGACATTGATTGATCAACAAGGGAAATACAAACCGAAGAACTTGTTTAACGAGAGGTTCTCTCTCGAGACCCGGCCCCAAAACCTTTCCGAAATATACTCCTCATCTCCCAAAACCCCCTCACAAACCATATATATGAAACCTTAAGTGGTCACGTTGAAAATACCTCCAAAAATAACCTTCTGAAAGAAACAAATCCAATACAGACTCAAGATAATCTTCACTCCTTTTCTCCAGATGCCTGTCGATTCCTCCGCACATGTCTCTCATCATATCAGAGCTCCAAACCCACCAATGTTTATGATTCTGCACATTCGCTGTACGCCAAAAATTAGCCAAATATCCTGACATCTAACCGTACGTAAGACGAACGTTTTCGGTTAATTCCGTTAACGAACAAGTTCTTACCTCCTTGTTAGTTTGTCGTTTTGTCTTAATCAGAAAGGATTGTATTCTTCATGAGCAATGGACGTTCCACCACGCTGAGTATCTAAATCCAGAACATAGATTTGTCATCAGATCAACTGAAACAACAAATTCTCTCCAATAACTCCACATTGTTACCTTTCCCATCCTTTTTGGTGTTTCCTGGGCATCTGCCTCTGCACATGTACATGACTTCTGATGCATCCGTTACTACACTGAGTTCGGTAAAACCCCTATGGACGAGGCAGCATCTCTTCGACTTCGATCCTGGAGCTTTTCCTGATCCGGTTTCTGCTTATCGATTCCACCTCTGCCGAGAACAGGCTGTACACCGGCCTGTGATCAGAGAATCTCGATTCCCCCGGAGCATATGATAGCTGATTCAGGCCTCTCCCATACCACAGTATGCGGTCACACCTTCAAAACTCAATATTTACTCAATATAGATGATTGACAGTTTAATCCGGAGAACAAAAGTATCAACCAAGTTCTAACCATGCAGGAGTTCTTCTCTTGGCCTTGGGAAGCCTGTCACCGCCGGCATATCTATCTGAATTGTCAGAGAATTTGTAAGTGGGAGGGAAGTATATCTTCCCCTCATTCCATCCCTCGAAGACACGCCCTTTTCTTTGTTCTAACCGCAGCTGTGGCACAAAAACCGTCCCGGCATTGTTCTTCTATGAATGTATCTTATGTTCAATAGGAGCTGAACAGTTCTCTCAACATGTACCTGGTCTTTCTCGAGCAGGGCTCTCCAGTTTCTCATCTCGACAAGGGCCTTTGCTGACCGGTATGAAAGTGCTATGCGGTAGTTTAAGTCCCCAAGCCAGATTACCCGACTGAAACAAATCAAGATAAAGTCAGATCCTTTCAACTGTTTAGGCTATGCAAGTGTCAGATCTTCTGCTCACTCGTGCTGTAGAATAGTCTGAGGAGATTGCTCTTCGTCAGCACCGTTGACTCTTGGGAATCTGGTTTTCCTCAGAATCTCCAAAACGTCAGAGTTTCTTCTCAGCTCGTCGCCCTCTTTCTGTCCAGACGTCAAATGGCTGCAGACGAAGCAGAAGCTCGTCTGGTGAACCAACATGCTGATTGAAATCGAGCCCTGTATATAAACATCCGAACTTAGGCACATTGAATTCCATACTGTCAAAAGATTCCGTGTTCTAAATCTAGTTTTACCTTATTTCCAAGATAACCCATCAATCCTCGTCCAACGCAAGACACTTTGAGGTTCCTGACGCTGTCCCTGAGATCACTCTTTACCCACACGGTTAAGAATATTCCCACCATTTGCTTGCTCGCCACTAAACAGTACCTCGATTTCTCCGTCTGCCTTTCCCTGTCATCTGTCACTAAAGATCCACTTCTAGAGGCGGGTGAGTCTTGCAAGTAGTGGCAGTACAAGGGCGAATCTGCCTGTGCATTATCCTCATCAGACGAACAGTATCTGAAGTTCGGATCATAATCCCTTGGCCTGTGGCCGAACATGACGCGGTCAGAGACACTGAACCTCCGGTCGAGGTGCGGCTGCACGCCTGAGATGTCCTGGTCCATCATCCACATGCTCTGGCCCAGGGATTGGAATGACCTCCGGTGGAAAAAAGACGGCTTTGACTCAATAGACTCGCCTTCGAAGTCAGAATCAAGCTCAGCGGCCGGGTGGGGAACCGGTGACGGAGTCCGGCAGCTGTCACTGTTGTCGGGAAGACTGTTCAATGTTTTCCTGATGAGAGCGAGCCATTTTCTCGCAGGCCCGTTGTCTTCAGCGCCCAAAACATTACCGGCATTCAGAGGGACGATCTCCTGAAAACTGTAAAAGAACAGGAACGAATGGAGACCATGAGGACAGATTGTGGAAGCAGGAATAAAAGTAGCGCAGAATCGGATCAAGAGGGTGGAGTTTTGCGTACCCAAGAACGTAAATATCGGCTGGACGAGAGGTGGGAAGCCAACCTTCGAGACTCAGACAACTCGGGGGAGATTTTCCGGCGACATTCCATGTGGCAACGAAAACCCTGTATGCATGTACGTATAGATACGTTTATGTATGTGGACGTACCCACAAGTCAGACAGAGCTGAGAAGAGAACAAAACCTACGTATAGTTGTTGTACACTTGTTTAACGAGAGATGGATCGAAATCGAATTTGGATCGGCGAGGTCTGTCGGCGTTCTTCTTAACTGCAGCAGCATTTTCCAGAAATTGCAAACAAGATTTCAAGAAGAAGCAACATGGTATGGTCCGATGCAAAAAGCACCAAATAGATTGATGAACGCCACAGGTATGGTGGATTTTTTTTTACTGACCAGTTTTGCTTTTCTTGAGAGTGGCAGCAGTGCATCCTTCTCTCTCTCTAAAACTGTTCCTCCATTCTTCACCACCACAAATTGAGAAAAAAAAAAGTGAACATTTTTTAGAACTCCGTTAAAGTTATAATTAAAAGCTGCTCACTTCCCACACCATTACTGGTGAATTTGGAATTCATTGAGGGGGAAAAAAATCAAGGAATCCGATTCGAACTTCCTGTGGAGATAGGGGAAACAAAACAGAGATCTCGAGGAACATAACTTTTTTTTTTATAAAAAAAAATACAAGAATCCTGAGGAATAGAGACCAAAATCTGGATTCTTGTACTGGAATGTCCGAGGAGGACAATGGGGCTTCATCAAAACCAGGGAGCAACTGAGATATACTGCAAGGGGGTTAATTACCATGGCAGAAGTCAGCATCGTCTGCGTGAAAGTCCTGTGCTTTGATCTTGATGTTGAGCCATTTTTTTACCAGTGCTTTCGGCCATGAAGCCTTTAATCCCGCATAAGAAAAACAAAATCATAAACCATTCAAAGGAAATTTAAGGGGAAAAAAATCAAAGATCGTTAAGAATGTTGGAAAAGTAAACAAAAAACAAAAAAAAAAAACCTTTTTTTTCTTGTTGCTTCCATCGCCCATTGCCCTTTTCACCTCCATAAATGGGAAGAGATCTCTGATTCGGAATTAATCTGTTAGAGCAGAAAAGAAGGCATAAGCGTCCCTAACCTAAGATTAAGGCAAGCTGTGTTTTAGGGGCAGAGTTTGTTAAGGAACAGAAGAGAAGAGGCGAATCATGCGAGACATTTATAAAGAAGCCCGGAAACATACAAAGAGAGACAGAGTCAGGGAGAGACAAGGAGCCTCGTTTCCGGGCACATTGCAAACTATCGAATCTTGAAGTGAATAAAGAAAGCGAGATGATAGAGAGAGAGAGAGAGAGAGAGAGAGAGAGAGAGAGAGAGAGGGGGTTTTGAGACAAAAGCCTCGGAACCCGAATGGGGGGGGGGGG